AGAAGCTTTAGTGACATCAGCAAACGATATCATCCCAAAGGAGACAGGACAAAGAAGGAAAAACGAGTGGATGACTGATAATATTCTCGACATGATGGAAAGAAGACAGAAAATTCGGCCAAGATACGAAACGGAATACAGAAAATTACACGAGGAAATAAGGACCAAAAGCAGGCAAGCTAAAGAAGAATGGCTAAACGAAAAATGTGCAGAAATAGAAAGATTGAGTACTACCAACAAAAGAAACATGCACAAACAAATAAGACAACTAACAGGACAAAAGACATGCTCATCACAGGCTGCCTAAAATCAAAGGATGGAACGCTCATATTAGAGAAGGAAAAAAATTCTTCAACGCTGGAATGATTATATTGTAGAACTCTTTCACGACGTAAGGGAATAACCGGCAATACACAGAACTACCGACGGACCTGGAATTCAGAAAACGTAAAAGCCACACTGGCCAAATTGAACAGAAACAAGACAGCTGGGCCAGACGGAATTTTAATGGAAATACCGACAGCCTTAGATATCTTTGGCATAGACAAGATCACCGAAATAACAACTGAAATCTACAATAATGGAGATATACCGGAAGACCTCAGCAGATCGTAGCTATGCCTAATAAAACAGACGCAAACGAATGCCAGCTCCACCGAACAATAAGCCTAATGAGCTACATGACACAACTCATCATCCGTATTCTAATGAATAGAGCGCGCAGCAGAATCAGCCCAGAGATAGGACAAGAACAGTGCGGGTTCGCTAAAGACACTGGAACAAGGAACGCAATATTCATGCTCAGAATGTTATCAGAAAGAGCGATACAGATATAGAAGGACGTGTACCTATGTTTCATAGATTATGCAAAGGCTTTCGACAAAGTACGCCACAAAGATCTGATGCGACTGCTCAGCAACCTTGATATATTCGGGAAAGATATCAGAATAATCAAGAATCTATACTGGCAGCAAACAGCATGCATACGCATAGGGAACGAGTTCAGTGAATATACAAAAATAGAAATGGGCGTAAGGCAAGAATGCGTCTTCTCACCCGACCTGTTTAACCTATACAGTAAGGCAATTCTGAGAGAATTGGAAACCCTACCGGGATTTAGCATTGGCGGACACAATCTTAACAATATAAGACACGCAGATGACACAGTACTGAAAGCAGACACGGAAAAGAAATCACAAAATCTCCTAAAGAAGGTAGCGATAGAGAGTGAGAAGAAAAGACTAATCATAAACTACAAGACAGAATGCATGGTCATCAGTATGAGGATGAGCCCGAAATGCGATTTTGTAGTTCGGGAACACTAGAATCAAGCAGGCGCGTAAGTTTAAATATCTGGGTAACGTCTTGACAGGGAACGGTAAGTGCGACACTGAGATCCGTAGACGTATTGGGATGGCCACAGATACATTCTAAAAGCTGGGCAGAGTATTGCGAGACAGAAGGATTTCTTTGGTAACAAAGAAAAGAATACTGAGCTGTTATGTGACATCTGCCCTTCTTTACGGCAGCGAATGTTGGACGATTTCGTCAAAGATGAAGAGACTCGAGGTGACAGAGATGTGGTTCTATAGAAGGATGCTAAGGATATCATGGACCGAGCGTGTGAGCAACGATGAGGTCTTAGAGATGTTGAAAACAAGGAAGAGGCTTATACTTAACATCAGGAAGAGGCAGCTGAAGTTTCTGGAACACATAATGATGAAGGGCCTGGAGAATCTGATACTCACGGGTCGAATAGAGGGAAAGTGAGACAAGGGAAAACAACGCGTGACATACCTGGCGACTTAAGCAAGTGGATGACAAAACGTGGTCTGGGGGAGGAAGTAGAGGGAAGGAACTTGTTGAGAATTGCAAGGGATAGAGGGAGGGGGAGCCATGATCACCTACGTTCTGAAAAGACATGGCTCATTAAAAAAAAAAGAATTAAAACTTATGAATTGTTTATTCCTGGAGTCAACTGTAGGTACCTGAATCTGTAAAATGAAAAACTGCGAATAAGCAAATATTATTGTACTTATCAACAAAGTGTAAAGGCATTGTATCATATTCACCCATTGCCTATTAGATCATTTATTTATTGTTACCTAAGTAATATTTAATAGTTCTTAAAAATTTATTTAGATTATTTATTTACATTTATTGTTCTCATCTTTGTTGTTGTTGTTATCTCAACGTTTCGACCGTTGTACCCTCCGACATTGATCAGGTGTTTGTTGATCCAGTTAACCATCATGGAATTTCGAACTGAACTCTTTACAAAATTTACGTGACTGTTGTTCTAGAAAACATTTTGTGTGCACATAAGTTAAATAATGATAACTCCTCATCCCAGAAATTCAGACAGAAATTATCGAATCGGTACGGACCCGGTGTGATACGCCAATGGAAATGGTTGGAAAAGATTCATACATTTCTTCTTTATTTTTCTTCGAACTCACTTTCCTGGGGACATGTTTCAACCAGCATCAGCTAAGACTATATCATATCTAAAACTGTGAATAGTAAAGTGAGATGCCCAGCAGCGCTTGAATGATTATTCTTGGAAGTGTTTTCATTATAAGCAGACATTTTTTTTAAGCCAAGAACTATCACCTTTTCTCTTAAAAGAAGTGGTTTATGAATTCTCTGTAGAATATCTGAATTTCTATCACCACTATTCTTGTGCTTTGAGGCTATCATTAAGTAAAACTTATAATGTGTTTATTTTTATAGTTAACCGCAGATAACTGGAGCCATAGAAAGCAAAACTGCGAATAAACAATGACTACTGTACTTAACTCAGTATAAAGGCACTGTACAGTATTCAGTTATTTAGTTTGTTGTCTATTAAATCGTTTATTTATTGTTAGCTAATATTTTTCGCATTTTTGTGGACTTTACTAAAATTTATACACGCGACACATTTGATATTCATTAAGCTTATCTTAGTATGACACAAGGTTGGGAATGTGTGGCACACACTGAGGATTAACATCCCGAGATTATTGAGAAGCCTTTATCTTTGCCATATTTTAATTAGTAATTAGTTGGTATTTTCTTAACTGAAGTGATAAAATTTATAGCATGTTTTCTCAAACCTGGGTATGCGAAATTCAATTGGTACATAATCAAGTCTCCCTTGTTCGCGACACATTTTATGATTAGAAGTTCGCAAACATGCTGTCTTTTTCCGCGATGGAAAGAAACAACTTGCTTTCTGTATTTCATATCGCCTCACTCCCAGAATGTTCATCGTATTTCATCTTCAGTACTATAAGACGGAATGTCGAGCGTGCTGCTCGTGATACGACACAAGAGCTCAAACTGTTTGAAATAAGTGCATGTGAAATATAGGGTGCGTGACCTGCCGTGTAAAACAATCTCAAATTCAAAGCCAACCTTTCTGAAACGATATTTCTCGACTAAATCATCAGAATTTAAACTCTCCAGTACATGAATTACGTCCGCGTTTTCTGGATATAAGCAGGCCTGTCTCCAGCTGATTCCATCCCGTGTTCTAAAGGATAGAGTCACTGCCGTAATTTCCGGCTTATAAGTCGCACTCGCAATTTTTCATCTTTCTTCTCAGCGGGTGCGCCAACACAATCGCGCAGAATAAATAGGTACACGAGGTGGGGAAAAGCTTGCGAATCCCTGACCTAATAGATTTCTTGAGTAACTTGCTGAATATTGCAGAATGCATAGGCTAGTCAAAAGTGGTAAAATAATAATTATCAGTAGATGTTAACACCTCAAATTGATTAAAGAGAGGAGGGATGGAAAACTTAGTTTTATTTAACACATTATGACAGAGTCGCCAGTAATCACGAGAGCCAAAGGCTTTTGAAGTAATACGGTGCCGCATTCTCTAAGCAAACAGAGACTTAGCTCCTTCGAGGACACATTTACATTTATTACGTGCAGTCACGAATAGGCGCCTGTTGTGGTAGGAACTGTCACAATGATGAAGCCTGAAATAGTAGTCCCTGTGGGCTCTAGCGCCAGAACATACTGGTGGGAACCATAGAAAAAATTAAGGTTTCACCTGGTATTTCCGAGAAGAAATGAAAGCATCTATGCCGGCTTTGACCCAACAGGAAACTTTGGTGATGCAATTCTCAATATGAAAATTAAAAGTGTCGGTCCAAGGGGCGTCTTGAGAAAGTCACGGAGAGAATCACAATCAGCATGCTGGTAACGGAAAGCAGTCTTATGAATAAGTTCATGTGTAATAGATTATTGCAATGAAATATCAATAGATACTACAGAGTGATCAGACTAGACAAGAGGACAGTGTTGCGATGCTCGGCAATAGCTTGGAGGGGAGGTAAGAAATAAATCAAGTAAAGAAGCCTGCTGCTCAGATTTGCAAGGGAAACGAGTAGGGAAATCCACGATTTGAGTAAGGGGTTGAGCAATGGAATAATTGAAAGTCTGGATACCGGCAACATTAGTAACCGTATGTTTAAACCACGTGTTGTGATGTGCATTAAAATCTCCGAACACAAAGATGTTCGCAGATGGATGGAGAGGGAGTGCCTTTTCTATATTGTCAGAGATTATGTCTAGTATATTGCAGTCCTTAGAAAAGAGGGCAATAAAGGATGAAGAGATAGCTTACAGAGTGTAATAATGAAAGGCGATAGCACATGATAGAGTTGTTTGGGAACTCGAGTGACAATCCCCTTGCTATTGGAAGATTATGCCGGATGTAAACACAAAGGCCTTGCATGTGAATACTGGGAGCTCAGATTCCTTTACATGCTCGTCGATTCAGCAGGGATAAAAATCACGCACGTGCAGAGGATAGCAGCTGGCCAACCTCTGTCTCTCACTCAAAAACAATGCCTACTACATCGTAACTAAAATAAAGCGAAAAAACGAAGCCTGTGTCGTTGATTCAGTAGCGTTGGGATGTCTAATGAAGAAGTGCCGAAAGATCACTTGAATCCAGAAACCACACGCAACGCTGTCCGGTAGGATGAATAGGTACGCTTATCATGATGGATCCACCTAGCCATTTCAAGGGAAACCAGACACTACTTCGAGGTATCTATCTCAAAGTAACGCGTGACAGATTGTACTAAGTTATATCGTAACACCTGACCCCTTCATAAAAAAAATACATGCGTCAAAATATCGAGCCAGCTTGGTAATTAAGATAGTTGTATTCGAGCCTAGGTAAAAGCTAGACTCTGATCTTGCCATCGTTTTTGCATTTGGTACATTTGCTTCTGGTTTCTTTTTTAGCTTTTTTTTTTTTTCCGCTACAGTAGGTATATTATGATTTATTTATACTTATTCACCCACTTGAAATTCCCTTTTAAATGTGTTGGCTTCCTTTATTACTGAAGTTTCTTATTTCTTTCATGTTTTTTTGTTGTTTTTTTTTTTTGTTTTTTTTTTTTTGCACAGATCATCATCCAGTCTTCTGTAGTTTCCAGGTATCTTTGAAGATTGTTGTGGTTTTGTAAAACAGTTTTAGTTGAACTAATCCTCTGCCTCCTTCGGATCTGGATACATATAAAAGATCAACATCCGCCTTAGGATGATGCATGCAGTGGCAAATGAGAAGCTTTCTCGTTTCGACATCCAGTCGCTTAATGTAAGCTATAGTCCAATTAAGGATTTTGAAATTTTATTGTGCCACAGCAACAGCCAAAATGTTTGTCTGATATTCTGTTTTGTGAATTCGCTCGGTATTTGACACCAGACGCATACGCCTGTAGTATTCTTTTCTTGCTTCCTCCTTCATTTGGGTATGCTGTATTTCATCTCCTTCACTGACTCCTAGGTATTTATAAACTTCTTCATGTTCCAGTTCCCTAATCTTTGTGACAAAATCTAGTTCTGTTGAATGTGTTTCTGTAATCCTCACCTTTTTTTATTTTTGCACATTTATCTAATCCGAAATTATTATTATTATTATTATTATTATTATTATTATTTATAAACTCACGTCAAAATTATTCAATGTTTTATCTGTATTTTTATGACATTACACGGCCTGTCAGTTAAATTGTACTTTCCATCATTTTAGGCTTATGCAAAAAATTGCAGAATTTTCGACAGTTTATTTTTATGAATATAAATTTACAACACTATGCAGTCAGTAAAGCATTTTCCATGTCTTTTTATGACATTATGCTACCTTCCAGATGGCTTGTCTATTCTATAATATGATTATGCAAAAGTTTCCAGCTTCTAACGACATCTTTCATTCATATAAATTCACTGATCAGTCAGCAGAGAAAATTCTCGTCTTTTCTATGACATTACGCGACTTTTCACTCAAAGTGAATATTCCATCATAAAACAATGATTCCGGTTTTGATTCGATGATTCTTCGAGATCTTCAACTTTTGGGCACAGCTGACAAGAAAAGGAGTGTTGTGTGGAGCGAAACATGTTATATTATGAATGTGATGTGTCTGAAGAATTTGTTGCATATCGAAGACTTTCCTAGCACAAGCCTATAAACTTTTGTTGCATTGTATTTACAACTTCAGGAGGACTTTTGCCATGCAGTAAAATCATCGGTTGATTTCTTTGTTCTTTAAAAAATTTCTTTTCAAATACGTCATTGAAATGAGTTGATTGATTCACCTCTAATTTTTATTTTATTCCTGCAAGTTTGTGGTTTATTAGTGCCATATCAGTCTTTCAAATTCATCAATTTTCAAGTTCTCAAATCTTGGAACATATACGTTCTTCATCCTTGGGCCTCAGATATAAGTTTTTAAACATTCTAATTCTTGTTACGTGCTTGCACCTGCTTTAATGTTACCATAAACTTCAGTAATCCTTTAGCAAGCTCCCTACGCCATTTCTCCTAAATTATTCGTGAATAGTAAGATGTAAGACCATTTTGCATTCAACCATAATTTTCAATAAAATAATGTAAAATTATCATTTTAATATCTATATGGCAATCTCCTCACAGACTAGAAGTAAGAAATGTGATTCTATCGAAGAATGCTGAGAGTACCATAGGAACAACGATGAGATTTTTCAGGAGAATTGGAACTACAAAGAAAATGATGTAAACTAGAAAGAGACAGTTAAAACTTTAGTAAAACTTCGAGAAAAGAAGGCTTGGAGAGTTTAACACTCACTAGGTATATTGAAGGCAAAAAAAGCAGGCGAGATCGGCGAGTGATCGGCTTGACGAGTTTAAGTAAATTAAAGACATGGATGGATACAAAATCAAAGTGTTTTTTTTTTTTTAAAGAGGAAAGAGTTACTTATAGTAGTAATGGACGAGAAGTTTTGAAGAATCATGAACGTCCTGAAAGGATATAGAGGAAGGGAGGGAGAAATAGAAGGAGGTGCATGCCAAGCCTTTATTGCTTGGTATGCACCTCTCAAAGAACTCTCAAAGACACTTCTAAATTTTCCCTAACATTATGCAAAAGATGACGCTGAGAACTTTTACAACAACCAATACTGTTTTCAAGTTGTTGTTCTGAAGAAACAGGAGTTGACGTCAACAGCGCATTTTGTGTGTGTGTATGCGTGCGTGCGCACGTTTTTGTGAGTATATATGTGCGCGCATGTGTCAAATGAATGTTAGCGTGGGCATATAGAAACGATGCAATTTATATAGTTCTGATACTTACAGAGCGAACATTTGTTTTGCTTTCAATCCAATTAAAAAATAATAATAATAATAAAAAGAAAAAAATTCGTAATAGTAAAAGAATGGTCATAATCGTTCTCAGGTAACAAACAAAACAAAAAAAAAGAAATAGCGAAAATCTGAAACTCTTTCTTGTTTTGAAACATCAAACAATTTTGCAAAAATATTCAAAGAAATGTTTTCTATCTCCCACGTTTCTTCCTAACGTTTCTCCAATCTCCCACTGGTTTTCTCCTCTCTCTTTCTCACTTCGATTTTCTGCACATCGATGTTTTATACTTCTTTCCATAATTCCTCTCTCTCGCTCTCTCTCTCTCTCACACACACACACACACACACAAAGACACACACACAAACAGTGTCTGTCTGTCTACCTGTCTGTCTGTCTCTCTCTCTCAAGTCACTCCTCTTCTTACCGTTATTTTCGACTCGCGTTTTACTTTTTCCTTCATTTTTATCTATTTTTCTTACTGTTTTTCTTTTTTATCCCATTTCTTTCTCTCTCTCTCTCTCTCTCTCTCTCTCTCTCTCTCTCTCTCTCCTCTATTTACTCTGCAGCTTTCCTTTGATTTCTGATTCACATTCTCTTCTGTCTTCTCTCTAATATCGTTTTCTTCCTCTCTTTGTTCTATTACCATTTTCTCTTCTCTCTCTCTGTTTCTCTCTCTCTCTCTATCTATCTATCTATCTATCTATCTATCTATCTATCTATCTATCTATCTATCGTACACACACATTTCTTCTCTCTTGTCGCACATTCCGCTTCTTGTCTACCGTTTTTCTACCTCTCTTTCTCTCTCCAACTATTTCACTATTTTTTATTTTCTTTCATTTATGTTTCTTTCACTTGTTTCTCTCTCTCCCTCTCTCAATCTCTTATATACTTTTTCCTCTGTTATTTCTCTCACATTTCTCACTCTTTCCTTTCTAACCCCCATTTCTCTTTTACTTCCTATCATTTTATCTTCCTCCTCTTTTTCGTTTTCTATTTTACTTTTATATCTCTCCCTCTCTCTCGCTCTCTCACACAGACACACACACATATTCGCACGTATACGCACATCTCCATATTCTCAGTTTCCATGTTCTTCACCTTTCATTTACTTGTTTCTCTCTTTCTCTCTCTTTCTCTCTCTTTCTCTCTCTTTCTCTCTCTTATCTTTTGCTCTTTCTCGTCTCTCTTTTCCTTTTCTTTCACTCTTGCTCTGAACCCACTTTCTGTCTTTTTTTTTCATCGTTGCCGTCTGTCTTCATTTCTCATCTTTTTCTATCACGCATTTAATATATCGATCTTTTCTCCTCATTTCTTTCTATTCTTTCTTTCGTTACTTTCATCTTTTCCACTTTCTTTTTGTGTTTCTTTTTCTTTCTTTTTCTCCCTCTTTATTTAATTCGCTTCTTTCTCATGTCTTTCTCTGTCTCTCTCGTTTCTTTTTATTCTTTGTTTCACTTGATTAGCTCTGATATTTCGCTTTCTTTTTTTTATTTTTCATTCTTTCTCTATTGTCTTTCTTTCTGACTTTTATCCGTTCTATCTTTCTTTCTTTCCTTCTCTTTCACTCCCTCCCCATTTAACTTCTCATATTCTTCCTTTTTCTTGTTTTCAATGTATTCTGCTTTTTCTACATGTCCTTTTCTTGCATATAAAAAACGTAGTGAAATTAGATTTAAAGGAAGAGTGGGGGAAAAGCAGAGTTGGGCTCGGCGAAGAAAATTCCTTCATATTCCCGTTTTCGTTTGAAGTCTATTTTTCCTTCTTAGTTCGTTTTTTTTTTTTTTTTTAATTTCCTTCTTTTTCTCCGGTTCCAATTTTTTCATTCATTTATTCAGTCAGATTTTTTTTCAACACAAGAAAATCATTCAATCAATACTTCCAATCTATTAATTGTCAACGACAAAAAAAAAATAAGTTTGTTTAACTTCGATTTTAAAATTTCTCCTCATCAAATACGTTCCTGGGGCGGGGCTAAGTGATGCAGTCTTTGTATGAAGCTTTCGTACATTTACTGATGGGGTGGCGTGCTAGGAAATAGCTCTGTGTATGTATGCGCTTGGACAAAAATAATAATAATGGCGCAAACATGCAAATATTTCAAAACGCACAAATACTGTCATTAGTTGACAACTGTAAAGATACAATAAAGCACAAGAGATATTAATTTGTTAGCTTGTACAATCCTTCCTATCTATCTATCTATCTATCTATCTATCTATCTATCTATCTCAGTTTATTTATATCAAACTGAGCATGTTCATATATATCTATCAATATCCGTCTATTCATATCTAATCGAGCCTGTCCATATCTATCTATCTATCTATCTATCTATCTATCTATCTATCTATCTATCTATCTATCTATCTGTCTGTCTGTCTGTCTGTCTGTCCCAGTCTATTCATATCAAACTGAGCCTGTTCGTATTTATCTATACAGGGTGTGCTGGGTAAATCGTTGCCATTTTATATTTTTACTTTCGCGCATGTGCATTTTTTCTTTTTTATTTTGTCCACTGCACGGTGTTGTAGGGTTAGCTTTGGAAAAGTCATGCTGTACTGCTTGACATTCGCGCCGGAAACTCCAATTCAAACATTTCAGAGTGTTTGGGTGTCAATCTGAGGAAAGGGTAGCGGATTCAGAAAGAGCTGGATTAGCCTAATGGTGAGTAGGAAGATGTTTGGAGTGATCACTAGTAATGGTGACATTATGCCTCCATTCATCTTCCCACAGTGCCTCAGAATCAACATGGAAACCTACATCAAATGACTTGACGAGGTAGTGCTGATCTGGGTCAAGAGGGTGGATGCTGGATGACCTTATGTCTGGTAACAGGAATCTGCACCATACCACACAAACAGGAGAATACAGTCATGGTTCTCAAACAATTTCTGCGACCACATCACCCTTTACATCTGGCCACCTAACTCCCCAGACTGCAACCCGCTTGATTAGTATGTGTGGGGCGCAGTTGAACGAGACACCAACAAAATTCCTTGCAACACCAAAGATGAACTGAAGGCAAGGATTATGGCAACATTTATCAACTTAAACGAGGAGACCGTCCAGAAGAGAGCAGGAGATTCCGAAGTCGTCTGCAGGCCGTGGTTGTAGCCAATGGCGATTTTATTGAATAAATTTACTCTTTCGTATTTGAAGATATTTGTGTGTCATTATGGTAAATAAATCTGTTAAAATAAGATGTCAGTGTTATTTTTATTTTTACATAATTTAGACGACAATTTATCCATTTCACCCTATCTATCTATCTATCTATCTATCTAGCTATCTATCTAGCTATCTATCTATCTCTCTCTCTCTCTCTATATATATATATATATATATATATATATATATATATATATATATATATATATATATATATATATATATATATATATATATATATATATATATAGAATATATAAAGAATATATATATATATATATATATATATATATATATATATATATATATATATATATATATATATTTATAGCGCACAATCCGCAACAGTCAATGTAATGGAAATGTACCCAAATACCTAATGAAGTGACTGGTGATGTTTCTTTTATGATTCTAGTAGTTCGCATTGTCAGCAGATTTGATTATTAGTTCGAAAGGTTATAATCAGCCGAAATCATTCTAAATTTTTCTTCTTTAATTTGAATGATCAAACTTAGCTTTATCTTCATGGATTTCGTATTAATAAATATTCAAACTTCCATCAGTATATTCATCAACTGTTTTTAGCGTGTACACAAAAGTGAGGCATCGAACTGACTAGACTAGCAATAGAAGCTTCCTGCTAAGGCATGGCAGATAACAGTAATGTAGTCCTGGAAGCAATTAGTCAAGGACTCCCAGAAGTTAATCATACATATTGGGAGTTATTTGTTGACTAACCTGTGTATTTTACACCAACCTTAGTGATCGGCGTTGGATCGCAAGAAGAAACCAGCACTTCGAATGATGATTATCAATGCAGGTAGGATCTCTCCACTTGGAAGATTGGTCCAGCACAATCTTTCTTTCGCATTTCGGTTCGTTTCGTGTAGAACAGAGCTAACATATATATATATATATATATATATATATATATATATATATATATATATATATATATACGTATATTGGGTAACTGTATGACAAAACGGAAAACATTCTATGTAACGCGTTTCACCGTCTAAAAGGTATTAATATAGAGGACAAAACATACGACGTAGAACCTTTTCTATTTTGCCATTCAGTTACCTAACCTTTTTCTGATATATAGAAATTTATATCTCACATTCTCGCATATATGCGTATGTATGCGAATATATACTAAGTGCTACACACAGTTAAGGAGAATTTGCCCAGAGCATGCGAAGTGTATGCAGTACGAACTTTTTTCCGATACACTTTGTAAGCAGTATACTTTGTAAGTAAACGGGAATATCTTTTAAAAAATTGTCGAAACTAGGTATTCGTGTTAAGTATTGTGTGCGTGTGTAATATTTTTACAGAGCGCAGTTTGGTCTGCATTTACCTACCTCTTCCATATGTGTAGAAAGCGACACATTGTTCTAATGCAAAAGCGAACAAAATTAACACATATTACTGAGTTTTGAACGTGGATCGCTGAATACAGAATGTTAACCATTGCTCCATAGAACAATACGTTATTGATTCTAGACAGAAGAGTCACACTTGGACAGAGCACATCAGGTACTATACTGGTCCCAAGCAGAGCTGACGATCCATATGTAAATTTTTACGGCTACTTTTCTAGTGAATGTGCGGATAGCGTAACGATTGTCCGCATGGAAAGTGGAATTAGCTAACTGTATTCAAATCGCCGCCTAGTTTTTTTTTTGTTTTTGTTTTTTTCATTCACTTCACTTTTCTTTCACAATCACTCTCTTCCCTTCTCATCACATTTTCTCTTTGGGTTTAACAGCAGAGTAGACTTTGTCGCCTTGGATGGCAGCCACTCTAGGAAAAACTCAACATTGAATTAAAAATCGTAGAGAAATCAACGGTAAACCACTTCACTATTTCTCCCAATTTGCTATGGTAATTTACACAGTAAAGAGAAGAAAGCTTTGAATAATGATAATAGCTTACGACCTGTGATCACCTACGGGCCGAAAACGAGAAAAGTCTAATCGTAAACTCTCAACCTCCCAAATATAATGACTTACTTGCCTTTAGATTGTTCAAGACTCATTGCTTGAGATCTTGCATTTCACAAGAAAATCATTCTCATAACGTTGAGGAGCCCTTCTAGTCTATTTATCACGTGTTTTTATTCTTTCTTTAATCGTCATTTCAACCAATTTTTTATGAATGATATTTGAACGAAATCTTCCGTCCCCTCCTTCTATCTCTTTCTCCTTCTCCTTTCTATCCTCACCAATCCCTTTCCCCCATGTCTTTCCTCTGTCTACTTCTTCGTTTATCCTCCATCTTATTCCTTTCCCTCTTTTTCTTATTTTTCCTGCTTGTCCTCCTCCTTTGTCCTGGTTCTTTTTTATCATCATTTTTCTCATACTCGCCATTCTCCTCCTTGTTGTTGCTCTTTCTCTTCCTCTTTTTTTATTCCCGTTCTCTTTTAATCGCTACGTCATTTTTCTTATTTTTCCACTTCGTTTTCTTTCTCTTCTTGTATCCTAGTTCTTGTTTCCTTTTTCCTCCCCATACTTCATCATCATCATCATCATCTTTCTTTTTTTCTTCTACACCTTCTTCCTCTTTTTCTTCACCTCCACTTCCTCCTCCTCCTTGTTGCTTATTATTATTTCCTTCACTTCCTTTTTACTTCTTCTTTTCTTTGTTACCCTTCACTTTCTCCGTTTTCCTCCTTGTTTATTTTTCTCTTTTTTTCTCCTTTTACTTCTTTTTCGCCATTCTCCGCCTCCTTTCACATTATCCTTATTTTTCTCTATTTTCATCCTCCTTTTTCCTCTCATTTTTCTTTCTTGTTATTCTTATTGGTTAAACTCTCTCCCTTTCTTTTTGCGTTTTCTTCTTCTTTCAATTAAGAGTATGGTAATGAGCCACAAAGAATTTTATAAAGACAGTAACCTTTGCAATGTTTCTCTACTTTGCTCCTCAGTTATTGAATTGTAGCCGTAAGTGCGACCGAAAATCGATGTGGCAAGTTTTAGATTATTACTTCCAAGAATACGAGCGACAGTAAAACGAATATCTTAGTTTGATGCATATTCTATATTTTATTCTGTTTTTTTTTAAGTAAAAAGAATATCCCTTCATTCTTTAAGGAAATTTTACTTTTTTTTTGCTCTAAATTAGTTTTTCAATCATACAGCAGACAATAACAGCCTAAAAGAAGGATAATGATAGGTTTGTCGGTTGTACGTAATAAAAAAAAATTATATAGGAAAAAAAGGAAAACGCTGTGGGAATTTTGATTTTCATCCTGCCTATTCTTTTTTTTCGAAGTCATATATGATACTGTCCCTTATTACATTATGTTTTACTGTTGCTCACTAATTTTTATTTAGTATAGCACAGGGCCGAATGTATTGTACTAGTCTTTCAATCGAAGAGGGTTTGCATGCTTTGAAAATCAGGTTTTATACCTGGACTTCAAAACAACAACTGGGGTCACCGATGGGAAGCGCGCAACTATCTTAACTATGAAACAAACTACATCATTATTATCATTATTATTATTGTTATTATTGAGTGAAAGAACAACACGTCAAAAACAAGACGTTAACGTACAAATATATGAACCCCCATCATAACATCTTATCTGATAAGTGTATCTCGAATACATGAATCACAACCAAATGTACGCGATACGGTGACAGCTTTTGATAAAAGCAACGCATATATTGCAGGTGAGGTTCAGTTCGGGTAACCCGGTCTACCGAGACAGCGATAGAGAGTGTTTTTTTTTTCAAGTGTTTATATATTCTTGTCAGTGTCCAATGCACAACGAAATATGACAGTAGTCCCCAAGTGCACCAATGCTTAAAAAAACGAACATATATATATATATATATATATATGTATGTATATATAAAAAGAAATTTATAATATTATATATTTATATATATATGTGTGTGTGTGAGCTTACACACACACACACATCACAAATGAAACAAAATCGGCGTGTAGCAGTGTTCAGGTTAGGCAGGGCCCAAGAATAAAAACTGTCCCTAAAGCGCTTTGTTCTAGACCTAATATATTTAAAACGTCGCCATGGGGTAACAGATCAAACAAGTGGTACCCGGAATATGTGCTGTCTTTCATTATATTTTCTGCTCTGCTGCGACAATTAGAAATGTCCTCCAAGGAGTGCAGCAAGCAGACGAGGGTCCTAGCATACAAAACAGTAATGCAGTGTGCTACTCACAATACGGCAGCGGTAGAAGGTAATCAAAAGTTGTTTTTTTCTGAGAATTCTCAGTAAATAGAGTAGCTACTGCGTCTTCTTTACTATCGCGGTCGTATTGCTAGTCGAGGAGAGATCCGTTACAATACACGTACCAAGAAACTTAAGTTTATCCACCCTCTACGGACAGATACCATCGATAAATAAAGGAACAGATGCTGTGACATTTCTCCAAAAGTTCACCACGAGATATTTTATCTTTAATGTATTTAAGACAAGATTATTCTCCAAGCTCCATGCGCCCAATCCTTCTATTTCACTACTGGAGTCCGCCACATCAATCCATGAAATGAGTCCAACCCCAGTAGGGTCACTTGCAAATAATGATCGTGTTGGTGGGATGGATAGAGGCACAAACTCAAGTATAGTTGGGGAACAGAAGAAGGCTGAATACACATCCCTGTAGGATACCGGTACTGAGCTTAAGAATGGGTGGGAGTGCGAGCCAATTATGACAGTTTGTTGACATTTTGTCAAAAAGTCAATGACAGCTTAAATATTCCCAGTCAATGACAGCTTAAATAGTTCTAGTCGTGTGAACTTTTTTAACAGTTTGATCTGAATGATCGAGTTATAGTCAATAAAAAACATTCTCACTTTTCTCGAGGTGAATCAAGGCAATATAGCTAGCAGTGGCAATGACATATTCTGTTGGTCCATTCGTTCTGTATCAAAAGTAGACGGCAGACTTGCTTTGGTATATCGCTGGACCAGTTTCTTACAGTACTTCATGGCAATCGATGTAAGTGCGACTGGTCGATAATTGCTGGGGCCACGAATAACAGCTTTTCCGGTAAGGGGGTCATCATGGCTGACTTTAGGCAGGATGGTATCGCAGATTTCGACAAAGACAGGTTAATTATTTTCGTAAAGACCCCAGAGAGTTGGTTAGCACATTCTTTCAGGATACTTCCTTTCACCCCGTCAGGCCCAGCAGCTTTCTTCGAATTCACTCCTCTGAATACACTCATAGCATCATGCTTATGAACAGTGAAACTCTCATACATGTCTGGTGGGGTTGTTATGTTTGGCTCTGTTGGTTCCAGCTGAAAACGAGCAAATAAACAATTAAGTTTCTCTGCCAGTGAGGCATCACCATCTATAATATTTGCAGTTTCTAGATTTGTTAATAATGTGTTAGATACCCTACCATACACACTGTAGATCATTGTTGTTGAAGTGACTTTCTATCTTTTTCTGGTATGTTATTTTTGCCTCCCTAATGTCTCTCTTCAGGTTAGCTCTAGCAACCCCGAGATTCCGAAGGAGGGACGAGACTTGCTTCATCATCCACGGTTTCTGGTTAGGATATATTCAGATATGTTTATCGACAGTCACAGTGTCAACGAATTACTTTATATAAAAAATCGCAGCTGGCGGATACATTTTCAAGTCTGGTTCCTCAAAAAATGTCACAATTGTTCCATAGCAATCCTACAGCCAACCAGAAACTCTTTCTGGTCACACCTTGACATTCATGATTTTAGATCGATTTGTTCTCCAGAAGTAGGTATACATTGATCTTAGTAACATGGATGCATAGTCTGACTGGCCTAAGCGTGTCAATGGTGTTCATTTAAATCCACATTAAATATTTGAATAGGGCTTGCCCAAAACATTCCCCCTACATAAATTTTGTGTTGTTCGAATTACTTTCAAATCGACTTGATTAAAATCATCAGCATTAATATGGACAGAATGGGGATAGTTGTTCCGTTATTTATTGATGGCACTAATTCTAAAGCTGTATTACCGCTTGCTTTTGGTGGTACATAAACAGCTGTCATTTTTACGGCGGAAAACTCGCGGGGAATGTAAAAAAAAAAGCCTATATTTAACAGTTATGTACTCCAAATCAGTAGAACAGTGATTATCGAGTATAACACTGTCAGCACAGCATCTCTTATGTATGTAGATATATAGATCCTTAATCTCTGCTCTTATCAGATGCTTCGTTTATGTCCCAACAAAATGCTGTGTGGCATTTGAGACGGACAAATGCAACCAGGTCCCTGTTAGCAACAAAATACAAAAGTCATTTGACATGACTCCGAATTTAAAGCTGCCTGCTCATTCAAACTTTAAAAACTCTACCCTATTGGCACTTGGCTATGATACTCCCATACTATGATGCACATTGCGTTAGCACCTAGGGAACAAACCCAACAGATTAAAGTCCTGCAACTGACAAGTAAATCAATGGTACTGAACGGAATATTTACTGTATTCTATCTTAATTCACCAAAACATATACTTTTTAACATTATTTCCTTCTATGCATCGTGTCCCTTCAGGGCGTGGGTGATCATGGCTCTATACAACTTCCTGTCCTTTGTAGCTCTTAATAGATTTTGGCTTATCCCTACGAACCCTTCTTCTGCCAACCGTTTACATAAGCTTACTAGGTAAGTTATTCATTGTTTTTATATGTTCTTCTTGCCTTGGGAATGTCACATTTTCTAAACCCTCTTTCCCCATTATGTGCCTTAGAAATTTCAACTGTTTCTTTCTAACTCGTCCTTTTTGTTTCCATTTTCATTAAAACTTACTCGTTACTCCCATGCTCAGTCTATGGTATTCTTAGCAATTTTCTGTAGAACCCCATTTCTGTTGCCTCAAGTCTCTTCTTTGTCTGTAAGGACAAAGAAGTCCAGCATTCATTGCCATGTAGAAGGATTAATATTGCATAAAAGTTCAATCTTTTCTTTGCATCTAACGAAATTTTCCTGTTTTTTTTAATACTTTGCTTAGATTCTGAAAGGCATCATTCGCTTTCTAATTAGCCTTGGGATTTCGCTGTATCATTTCCCATCCTCTATTAAAATACTTCCTAGATATTAAAATTTTTGTACTTGCTTGATTTCGGATGTTATCAATTAAGATCAGAATCAATAAGCGCTATACTTCATGGCTTCTCTTCTTCTTCTTCTTCTTCTTATTATTATTATTATTATTATTCTTATTATTATTATTAATTGTATATTCACACTAGTTAGTATATTTTTCAAGTAAATTGGTGGAATGCCGATTTTTGTATGTTGCACTTAGTAAGGATCAAACTCACTACTCACGGTCAACCACACTAACCTCGTAACAGTTAACCAACGCCGGGGTGCCTTTTCACACTAGGTGTCCTATTTTAATGACTAGATATTGAATAACATCAAATCCCCACAAAATCTCTGCACTGTTCTTTAGTATTCTCGTAGAATCAGCAACTCTGGTGCATGATGTCTCAATCGTTTTTCGAGTTTCTTATTCATCTACTCTCAAGTCTTGTTTTTTTTTAGCTTTAGTTTTTAATACCACTTCTAGATCGATGATGTGTTCATATCGCGAAATCATTTTTATATATTTATAGAAATAACAAAAAATAGCAATTATTGATATCACGGACAGGATTTATTAAGCAAACTTCCATTCACTCGAATGATTACATATATAACGATTTACTGAAAAATTATCGGTTTGACCCACTTCCCAAAGTCACGCATCAGAATTTCTTTTCATTTTTTAAATCCCTTCTGAGTTGAAGCGAGAATGTTTTAAAACCACATCGTATATAGCAACAATATATTTAGCATGAAAAACAGACAATTGAAATGTCTAGGGGTCATAATGACACTCACAGGACATATTGAAGGCAGAGGGACAGAGTAAAGCAGCGAATAACCAACCTAACGAGGTTGTGTAAATGGTTGACAGAACAGGAATTAAGAGAGGTAGCAGAAACAACTTTATTAAGAGCTACAAAGGAAACTGTGGAGAGCCATGATCGCTTATGGACTGAAGGGACACAACAAAAAAGAAAACGAATAAATTCTGAAGGTGTATGTATGTGCCAATGGGGTTGTATCAACCATAGCATGAGTGATGTGTCTTGGCCAAGACAGTCTGACGGGGCCCAACTCTCTTCAGACTGGTTTTTAATTTCAGAGATTTTATTCTCCTCGCCTGGTTGCCGCCACTAGGCAAGAGAGTCCAGTCAGTTCTGCTATTTAACACATACCTAGAGGAAGATGGATTAAAAAAACCTACAGTCACTCGAATGATTACATATATCACGATTTCCAAGGAAATTAAAGCATAGTGAATGAAATAGAATCGAACGGGAATTTAACTCGGCACTCCTAATTCACTTTCAGCACCGAAATCCATTACACCATCCGTGCCTTCAATTCTGACGGAAGAAAAATTCAGGAAAAAAAGTAAAACGAAATCGAAATTTTTAAACCGACAATATCTGAATCCGTTGAGAGTAGGTAAAGTTTCCGCTTCATCTGTAACCCATATCTTGTCTGGTTTATATTATTTTTTCTGCAATTATGAAGTAAATATTTGGGACAGTAATGGAAACATTAACAATTTTTATTTAAAATTTATTTGCGGGAGAGTTGGTACCTAATCTCTGTATCTTGATTGTATTTCGAAAATCGAAAACTAAGAGATTGCCTAAATAGACAAAAATACAATTATTATACACCAACGAAGACTAAAAATTACATAATTCGGAAGGTTTTGTATGGCCAAGATCGACACATTATTGCAAGCACAGATGAGAGTAAATATGGCATCAGCGATATCAATATAACCTGCGGTGAAGCGTTTAATTGCATTAATACCAGTACTCACGTATTAATGACAAGAATATAGTTATTATACAGAGTAAAATTAGACCACTACGAAGGACAATAGTGATTTTGTTCTTTATACAATATATGCATACTGTCCGGTTAGATATTCTGATAGAATTTTCAAAGTTTTCGACACTCTTTTGACATTGCTCCGTTCAGTGTAGTGAAAGAATCCAGTGCAAACAGAAGTTAATCCCCAGAGACGAATACGTGTCTCTTTGTTCTTTTGTTTCAGTCATTTTATGAGTCAAATTGTGCTCTTTCGAAAGAGTGGAGAACTGCTCCGCATATTTGATGTGATGCGTCGATGTTGACAAAATGTGGTCAAATAAGCATTCTTACATTCGTTCTGCACGACCAAGATTGGCACACTGCAATAGCAGCACTGGCAGATCAGAGCAAATGTAGCATCAGAGATATCAATACGAAACTCTGGAAATCGTCTAATTGCAACAGTGCAACATGCGTACCTTTAGTCAGATTTTACTTCCAACACAACACAATCGGACACATCTTATTTTATGTCGCGAAGGGATCACCGGGAGATAGAATGGTGCTCTTTGGTGTTTAACTAATAAAGGAGATTTTACCTTAGTGTAAGTGGTGGTTCTTTGCGAATCAGATGTAGAAATGGGAAGTGACATCTTCAAGAGTGTATTCGTCCACAACAGACAGACCCAAACCATTGCAATATGGGGTAGAGCGGGCCATGATTTACAACTGTCGATTGCCTTTGATGGTTTTTGAGAAAATGTTGAACACCCAGGACATTACTCAACATGTTCTTTTACCATTCCTGCAACCAGGCATTGTGTTCATCCAACATAATAATGTCTGCCCACATGATTCTCATGCTACTTAGTATACTCTGCAATATATTTTACAGCTTACATGGTCATTACGGTCACCTGACTTATTACCTCCATTGAACATGTATATGACATGATGGGACGACACCTGAGAAATCCAGGTAGCCCACCTACAAGTTTTGCTAAATTGTATCAAGTACAAGATAAATGGAATAATGTAATTTAAGGTGGTATTCACCACCTGTGCAATCGTATGTATGCAAGAGTACAGGTCTGTGTTAATGCCCCAAGAGGATATACAGTATATTAATATGAGGTCTGATTACTGATGATATCCCACTTATTTTAGTACTTGTGCATGTATTGATCTGTATATATGGTCATTTGCTGTAATCCAGATATATATACGTTTAATCTTAGGTAAATTGAAACACTTATTCAAACCGTTGCAATTTAATGTTCTGTCAGTGTATGTACATTGTAAAAGCGTTGCTAATATTTTACTCTAAAAATACCTTATAAATTGCTTTTCGCTAGAAAAAAA